AAGTGCTTGAATTTCCCTCGCAAATCCGTCGCTGAAAGTTCCCTCGCAAATCCGTCGCTGATAATTCCCTCGCAAATCCGTCGCTGATAATTCCCTCGCAAATCCGTCGCTGATATTTCCCTCGCAAATCCGTCGCTGATCCGTCGGTAAGTACATCCCTCGCTGATCTGTCGCTGAAAGTGTCCGTCGCAAATCCGTCGCTGATTTCCGTCGCTGATCCGTCGCTGATAACATTACCTACGACTGTTTGACCGACGGAGTATCAGCGACGGACAACCCTTTCAGCGACGGATCAGCGAGGGAAATTTCCCTCGCTGATACCCAGCATTTTTGTACTGAGGATATTTTGAGGTTGATAGAAACACTAGCATAAAAAATCATGATGATGGTAGCAAGGATCCTCATGTATAGTACATTCATAATTCAACTAGGCCGGTGTTATAATGAATTTTACAGTCACATGTGTGCGCTTGAATTGCTTTTTCTGTGATGGTCGATGAGGTAGTGAGTGAATTCTTAGCGAATACTCGATAGAAAAATTGATGATCATAACATTGTCACTTTGAATGACGATTAAGAAGGGCGACTTTGTTAAGCCGACCTTTGTGGATCATAGTTGATGGTTAAGTTTTAACTATAGGCTTATTGAATCATCATTATTTTGGGAAAGAGTTTGTAAGGTTAATCGACTTATTTGTGGACTATCGCCTTAAAATACTTAAGCTTTCCAATGTCGATCTTGTGACTAGTAGACTTGGCGAGCGTGGTTTTAAGTTTTCGAGCCCCGACCAAATGCATTCACGATATTCGTTTTTTGAAATAAAATTACACGAATTATTTCAAGCTTGTCAAGGTTAATAATTTTGGGGAATGTTTCGGCACACACACGAGTGTAGCCCATGTTTTCGAAATTTCTAAATTGTTTGTTCTATAAAATTTGCATACGAAGTTATTGATAATTCTTTTTTGTTTTTTCAAAACCCAACATTCAATTTTATAGGGAGTCTTCTTTTGAGATCCTTCTTATTTGTAAGATCCATGAAATTCATTTTAATCCATAAATTATATTTAATTAAGGGTTAATAGGAAAATATCGTAATTTTCTAAATCTCTCTCTTTCTCGTCTCTCATATATTAATTTCTCTTATCTCTCCATCAAATTATACGCTATCCCATATAATATGCACAATAACAAAGTGATAGTAACATTCACACCATGTACATACTTAGTGTACACATTGTGGTATGTCTGGTTCACAGTGTGATAGTATCACAATGCCCACATATACTTGACAACATAAACGTCATTGTCTTAGCGTGTTCGTGATGTGATTTCAGTATGTGAATTATTTGAAACCTTATTGTTTTATTATGCTCGTATTATCAATTATGCTTTCGACATGTTCGTTGCTTTGAAACCATATCGTTTTGATAGTTAGATAGAGGCCTTGGATGAAGACAAGAGAGATGGAGAGGTGAGAAAGAAGGGACAATTACCATTGAAAGTGAGAGATAGAGAGAGAGAGAGAGACATATATTTATGATAATAAATGAGTCTTTTTTTAAAGAAAAATATATATGATTTTCTTAAAAAATGGTTTGTTTAGTTGTCAATAATTATTTAATTACTAAATTAACCTTTTGTATATAATTAATAAATCAAATTAGTTAAGCCAAATGAATAGAATAGAATGGATATCACAAGTTTTGGAATTATAAAATGATCAAGTTTGTACACACATATATAAGGTTGGATTGCAGTGAAGGTGAGAAATCTAAGAAGAGATCTCCATCCTTGGATCAATCCTAACTGAATATCAATACCATGAGGTGTACCGAAGTACACCAAGATGCACCAGGTTAATTCCCTTTTGCAATTCGTGGGCATGAGATTAAAAGTGATCAAGAGTTGAGATTTCTTCTTACGTTTCTCACATAACTCCTTCTCACATGATAGAGAGAGAGAGAGAGAAAGAGATACGTTCATTTGAGAAGTGGTAAGTATTTGAGAAGTAAAGAAGTGATCTTAGCTTTTCATATGGTTAAGTTTGGTCAAAAATTATGGCTTTGACTGATCAAGCGAAAAATAGAAAAGTAGTTTGTAACCTTTAAAAATAAGGGACAGACAAGTACATATATGAATCCATAGTTTATATGTAAATCAGTTAATTAATTTATATATAAAATTAAAATCCACGAATCGAGGATACTGTA